GCATGATGTGGCGCAAATGTATCCACATCCTTGTTCTCGTTACAGCTCAACTTGAAAAATAGAGGTAGTGCTGTTGAGAAAAAATTCAGAAACAAAAGTTTCGCCACATGCAGTATGTTAAGGAATTCATCTTCCTACTGCTTGGACTGAACCTCTCTACTATATTCATTTTAATTATTTCGAAAATCACCTGTATCAGCTGTCGTCCCGTTGATCATAGATTCCCTCGAGCGGGCGCCAATGACGTCTCCATTCGTCCCTGTAACGAGCCAGAGTGGTGTGATGCATAGTCTTCGCTTCAAGAACACGAAAGGCATTCCTTTCGTTCAGGATTTAAAGATCTGCTTCGAATCTGACCTTTGTGATGGCAGCCATCCTGATTTTCGTTAGACATCCCGAAGGACTCAGTCAGTAACACCTTCGTCCAACGGTCGCATGACGTGCCCAGCCCACCTGATCCTTGATTTCTTCGCGTAAGCGACGGCATCCCTAACCTTCTTTCGTTGAGGAGCTCCGAACTCCGGAGTTCCTTGTATAGGGAAATCCCGAACATCGTCCTTTCCACAGCGCGTTGAGTGAGTGATAACTGCATAATTATCCTGCTTTCGTAGAGTCCAAGTCTCTGAGGCTCACGTGTCGAAAAGCACGGATCTGGATATTTTTTGTCTTCTCCACTACTAACTTGATGCTCTTGAATACTTTCTATGCCGTGCGTTTCCTTCTGCTCAACTGCTCTCTAGGACGTTCTTCATGTTTAATTTTCAGGATAGATACACGTAGCTAAAGCATTCAGAGATGCTCGTTCTAAACAGCTTAAAAGGCGCATTATCCGTTTTTCATGAAATCGTCTACATATTGAGTAGGCGAAACCTGGTTGCCCACCTCTTAGATTACCGCTTCTACCTTGTAGGTCTTAAAGGCCTTCTCGAAATCGATGAATGTCAGACGTGAAGGCATTCCGTAGTCTCGCGACACTCCTTTGAATCTTTGAAGCTTAATAGATCGATTCCACTGAACCCCTGCAGAACATCTGATATTTTGCCAATCCTGTTGAGGATGACGTGTGTGAATAGTTTGCAGACTACAGACAGTAGGCAAATTTTGCGATAACTTTCAACATCGTTTGTATCTCCCCTCTTATTCAGCAACACAGTCTTGCTAGTTTTCTTGTACCTGTCGGAGTTCAAGTGAGCACTTCGCATTCCGACAGGTAGCACGTGAAAGCCAAGCCACGGTTTGACAATGACTGATGGAAGGCTCTCAGAGATCGGGGATCGATAGGATGAAACCACAACATGCAATACGTTATCGACGTGATGCCATGTCTAATTTCGGAAGGGAAGACTAAAGGGACGACATATTCGTCTTGCCTAGGATGGTGGTTAGTAGACAGGTAGACGTAGCTGTCGAGGAGATCAGGGTGGAAGTCGAAGATAGCCTTTTCCATTGCCCTTCGAGATGCAGCAACTGTTCGGTCAGGACTACGAATGGAAGTCATCTAGGTTTTATAATTGGCGAAGCTTCTGCGGGTTTTGCGAATGCCCTTCCCAGCCTCGGCGGTTTCTGCCAAAATTGCTGCTCTTCTCTCTTTTGGTCTTCCCTTTATCGCTTCTCTGCACAGCTTCGCAAGTTTGGACGTTAGCTGATAATCGCCAAAAACTTGCGCGATTAATGCGGCGTATCAGCTCGAGAACTTTCGAAGAGAGACGTTTCTTAGCATCTGTCCTGCTCTATTTCTGTTACTCTCTGCTTTCCTGGCACTATCGCGAAAACGTTCGGCGAGCCAGTTGTATACTCCATTGATGTCGTCGTTAGCGGAATCTTCCCATTTACTTGTATGGGAAGCAAAGTGATCCCAGGTAATCAAGGTCTTAGGGCTTCTTTCCCTGATTCGTACAGCTCCCCCTCCGCAGACTCTAGCGACGATGGTCCGATCCAGTGTAGAACTTCGGAACAGCAGCGATGTCAGTCAGGCAAAACATCCAATTGAAGATGATGTGGCCTATTTCGTGATGGAACTGTCCACCAGGTGACGCCCATGTCCACTGCATATGGGAGTGCTTCTGGACCTGCGAGTTGCCGTGGATAGTGTGGGTCGACATGATAAACGCGGACTGCCATTCATCCTGTCCATTCCTTTCCATTCCGTGACTCCCGATGTGAAGCTCTTTAGCGGTCCTTCTAGAGTCCATCTTAGCTGACGATGACCTCGAACAAAAAGTGGCCTTCTCTGTAGAGCCTCTTCAAATCCATACATAACGCATCGAACTCCTCTTCAACGTCGTTTGGTGTTGGCGCGTAGGTTGTTGAGAGATTGCTAGGGCTGGGGTTGAGCCTCATCTTCGCAATAGCAAACGCCGAATTAGGGTTGTCAAGCTTTAGAAATGAATTCGTATTTCGTATGAATCGATGTTGGGCCAAATGCGTGTTTAAGAGGGCACCTACACCGCGGACGCCGCTGCTGTCGCATGTTCCAAGGAACAATTCTTCTCCAGTTCACAAATGGCATGCAGCGGGCGGCGCCTTCTCGTCTTAATCAATCCGATGACGTCGTACTTGATCTCCCTGGCTTGCCTCATCAGATCTTCAATACACGCTTTCCATGCAAGCGCTCTTGCACTGAAAGCGCAAATCATCATCTTAGTCCTTCTCCTTTTAACCCTTTTATGGCTCTGATATTTGAGCAGCTTCCCCGGGGCTCCCACAGATTCAGAGAAATGGCTCATTCATATTACTGTTTCTGGCACATGGATACCCACGTGTACCCTGACACGTTATGGTTATTTGAAATTGAAAGTTCGAATTTCTTGACGGTTGGCTTTCTTTCTTCCCTTTTCGCTCTTCCTGAGAGTTGTCATTCGTTTGATTATTGCTGAGAATCACGTCAGGTTTTTGGCATATGTATACCTACATGTAGTTCGCCAGCCTCTAACATGTGATGGTTTCTAAAATCGAAAGTTCAAATGACTCGACCGTTGACTTTCTTTCTTTTCTTCTCGGCCTTTTGAGGGTTGACATTCACTCGACTATTGCTGAGAATCATGTCAGGCTTTCGCATATGTATACCTACGTGTAACTTGCCAACATCTGACACGTATGTTTTTTTGAAGTTGAGGTTAATTTCTTGACTGTTGGCTTTCTTTCTTCTCTTTTCGGCTTTTCTGAGAGTTCTCATGCACTCGATTATTGCTGAGGATCATGTCATCACGTTTTCGAGCTTTCACAGACCCTCATGACATGTTTGAAGATCAAACTGCAGTTGAGTTCAGAGTTTTTGAATCAGTCATGAATCTTGTCGATCATTCGATGCGGCTGGAAAACGTTTTTATAGCTGTGGACACACGAAAAAAAGACACCTCTTCCTTCCGGCTTGCCTCAAACCTATCAAGAATAAGTTCCTTTTGTTGAAGATCTTCCAAACCTAAATCAGCTTCACCTTAAGCTCCTTGCTGGTGTGACTTGTGCTGGAAACTACAGAGTATGTGATCATGCAGCGTTTATGCCACATCCTTTGCCTACTTCAGGTAAGAATTGCTCAATTATGATCTAACAAAAAAAAAACCGGAGCAAAATTGGTTATTGATCTCGCTCAATACCGTTAATTATGTCGGACCATACATACTTTGAACAACTAAGCGATATGAACATCAAAAAGGCATAAGGCACCCACGAAGCGTGTGGGAATGGTCACAAGTAAGGAGTCATGCTAATAAGCACAATTGTTCAGATTGCTACGAAGAACCGTCTATTGATGATGATCATCCTGCCTCTACTACGAGTGGTTTTTACGTGGATGTGTCAAGCGTCTGCACAGTGGTTCAAAACGAAAGTTTCATAGCTGTTATTTTGAATATTCGTACAAAACTCGGCTCTATGGGTTTGCTTGCTGTTTTACGTTAACTTAACGCAGTGTTTGCTGCTCCGCTGTAATCTTCGGTACTTGACTTTTGAGGATTGCTGCAATATGTTGTGAGCGTTTGCGCGCTTTGCTACCTACCGAGAGCTTCATTTTTCCCATTCAAGCGCTCAAACGCAGTGAAGCAATGACAGCAATTCCAAAAAATTAAGTACAGGCAATCTGCTAGCATGTACAGAAGACCTAGAAAAACATCCTCGGAGACCGATCTTGGAAACACAATGACCTGTGAAGACCAGCCACTGTAACAACCAGCTTTTTTATTTACACAATGTGCCTGGTGCTATGCCGAGTATAGCCCCACAATTTGGTGTTGGACCATGTGTGTGGCACCCTTCAATTAGTTAGTGGCAACTTGCACTACCCCGTCTCTGCTTATGCAAGTTATTTGTGGCGAATAAATAACAATGCATGAAAACAACTTTCCTTGATCGCTGAGGGTAGTCTCTAAAACTGAACGGAACGTAGCGTAAGCAAAACACAAGCTCCAGCGCCGGGTCTGAGCCTAATCTTAGAGAGGTGCTTTGACCGTATAAACTAGGCTGCTTGGTAGAAGCACCTGGCTTTCGGAGGGAACACTTGCCTTCACTGCAACTCGTGCAGAAATTTGCTTAATGCGCGGTACAGGAAATCCTACTATTACTTCTTGGTGCACTTATTCATGCCACTCTTCCATGTAAAGAATTTACTTGCTGTTTTACTGTTTTGTTGAAATTATGTGGAGTAGAAATGTTGGTGAGGAACGTGAGCAAGAAGAGGGCTGTCCGAACTCGTGTACCATTGAGATACTTCGCACCTAGGGGCGGAGAGACCTCAGTCGTACATAACCGTACCCTATTCGATTCTCAGTCGTACATAACCTCGTCTCAATTATGAGAGTGATGACAGTAAGAAACAGAATCTTCATTAAAAAAAAGGTTCTGACAGAAAAATTTCCAACACCTCTGGTTTCGAGAGTTTCAGTAACAAAATAGTAAACTTAGCCGTACGCTAGGGTTTGCTCGCACTCTCACCGTGGTATGCGAGGCGTACTCGACGCGGCCAATAGGGCCGCGTCGAGTACGGCATTATTCGGTGATTGACTCCACCTTACTATTGCGAAAACCAGGGTAAGAACTGCCACTGCTCGCCGGCTTTTTGTAGGTGCTGAAAGGGGGGGGGCACTAAGCTGCTGCGATTAGTCCAACGGAGATCTGCCTCATGACGTCATCGATGGTCGGCACCTCCATTTATCATTGGCAGCGGCGTCCTTCACTTCTTAGTAACCAGATTCAGACAACAAAAAATCAAAAAATTGCAAAAACAATTCAATGCACATTAATTGTAGATTACAACTTCATTAAAACGATATCAGAAANCAAAAACAATTCAATGCACATTAATTGTAGATTACAACTTCATTAAAACGATATCAGAAAACTTATGAGAGAAGCTTCCTCTTTATATTTTTTGAATTTTTGCTCATCTGTGGTATCGAACTACCTTTACGAAAGCAATTTGGATGTTTAATATTGGTACAGTTCGCCTAAAGAGGTCACTGAACGCTCTTCGGTTGATCAGTTAGGTAACTTCACATCTTCTAAGGAGCATTGCAACACTTCAGGCTGAATTCAGCACTTTATCAACAATTTTTTCGACCTGGCAAGTGAATGTCTTATATGCAACTGTCACTTTGCAAGAGAAACCTTACTTGAGACTTAGATATGTATTCTGGATACACATTTTACTGCTTCAGAAAACTCACGGCGTAACACTCTACAGCTTCCAAGAACTCACGGGGTATCCCTTGGCTTCAACGCAGTTCCAACCCATACCACACCTCATTATACATGTACTACTTCTACATCTATACGTTCGACAAATTTTATCATCAAGGCGCGACTCACATCCGATTTCCGATGTAAGGAACTTAGCAGAAAGATGTCCAGATTCGTGACGGACATACATAACCATTCGAGTTGTCTACCTATTTGGTTTGTGATCCTTTTTGGAAAAAAAGGGAAAATTCGAGTGCTACTCTACATTTTACAGGAATCTGAACCACGAATTTATTGACACTCTCTTCTGCACGGTCATAAAATTCACTAATCCAGAAATTTGAAAATCTTCCTGTCCAGAAATGACCTAATAAAAATTCTTTTCTTACTGTTGTCATCCTCGTAATTAAGTGAGCTTGTGTACGATCAAGGGGAGGCAGGTATTTAGGCCGAGGTTGTGTACGATTGAGGTTACTTTCCACATAGATGTGAGGTGATATCGATCGTGTAGAAGTTCCTTCAACCGAGAGAAGAGGGCTATGCTTAGGTGAGGAGGCCCATCGTAAAAAACTTCGTCGAAGCGGTTGGAAACCTCTTCATTTATCGTGGATTGGATGATGGGTGGCGTTAGGGCGCTTACTATAGAAGACGAACATGAGGAGGCGTTGCGCGACAGGCTTTCAGTATTTCCTACTCACCTCTTCATACATCGGGTCATCTTGACAAAAAAAAACATTGCATTTGCTATCTCCCCATGATCTTAACCAAAGCATGTGAACCTTCAGGTGACAATAAGTGGCAATCGAGGCAACCTTCGCAAAAGTGTGTCTGTTCCGGTCAATCAACAGTCAGCATTAATTGTAGTGGATCCCTCATTCGGGGAGGCTATTTACTTTCACGCTGAGTGAGATTTTGATTCTCTTGATGTACTTTTTCATTCTTCGCGCTCACTGAGCATTCATTTATCTCAAACAGGTTCATCAGCTAATCGGGGGAACCTTCACAAGGGTTTGTTGTGGAATGCAGGCCACCGAGTTTTTTATATTGCTGGCTTTTGCTCATGGAACAATCAATTAATGAGGCGGTTTCGGAATTGGTGCTTTGACTTTTGACTTTTATCCACTTGGCTTTTGTCACCAAGTGCCTAACCTACAAAATTATGAAATAAAATGATGTAGGTGATTGGTGTTGAAAAAACCATGACGAAAGAAAATCACGACACCACAGAAAAAAGAAAAGAGTACGTGCGGTTGCATCAAATAAGGTTTGGAAACTGCTAGCGCTAGCCCTTGCCTCTCCACGGAGAAATAGCAAGTCTTCAGGAGATGAGAGGAAGGGTATGGGCGGAACGGCGGAGAGGATTGAACTTTTTTCTCTTTCGTGAGTGAAATTCCGAATTAGCCTCTTTCAAACTTACTATTCCCATTGCACTCATTGTAGGAAACGGGAAGCAATAAGTCGAAACTGGCATGAAAACAATAACACAACAATGAAGCTGATTCTTAGCTGCAATAAAATACCTTTTTCATTCATCTGGCATTCCTGGCTTTCGCATCCTGCAACAACAGTGATATGTATACGAGTATATTTCTATGTTGCTGACTCAACGTTTGCTGAAAACGTATGATCATTTATCGTAATCGCAAGGTGTTGATACTGTATACATGGCTACCACCAATCCAAATTCGTCAGGCTCTTACGTCTGCCGGAATCGTATTTAATTCATATTAAAGGCAAAATTCACGACGAAAATGATTCCCGGATATCCATTCTGCTTTTTCTTCTTCTTTTCCTTCTTTTTCTTTTTCTTTCACTTTTTTCTTTTTCATATTCTTCCTTCTCTCTTCTTACTTCTTCTCATTTCTTACTTCTCACTCCTTACTTCTAACTTTTTACTTCTTCACTCATCATTCTTCACACATCACACTTCATTCCTACCCCTTCTAATTCTCGCTCATCTTTTTCTACTTCCTCTTCTCATTTGACAATGGAGAACGAGTATTTGAGGGACTCTGCTACTGCGATCAGCACACCGCTTTGTATGATGTCGTCTACGTTGTCATAGAGCTGTACACTCTCTCCACTTTCCCTAACCTTCACTCCTTTCCATCGTGTTTCCTGAAGGCATGGCGCCTGAATGTTATAGCGCTTTCTAAATCAGTGACCTATCTGGACTTCCCATTGCGATCCCACGTTCAGAGTCACTATTTGGAATAAATTCGTTGGCAAAAGTCGTTCACTCTTGGTTGACCCTCCCATGTTGTCTTCAGGACTCGGTCGGGAGTTCTGCGTCCCACACCCGGGTGTCATCCTAGCTTTATCACTGTTCCTTTTCGAGGCTTTAGAAATATTTGTTGTGACTAAGTTTTTCCATCAGCCAGCCTGTCGACCTGGGTGTGTCGCTGGTACCGATACCTTTTTTGCAACTTTTGCAATCTCGCGTTTGCTTCGGCAGGGAACGAAGTCGCGCTTACTCTGATACGAAAGCCTTCACGCTTATGCACTCGGCTATCCATGTTTGATTTCCAAAAACCCCAAGTGGGACCAATCTGTGGCTTCTGCGTACTTCAAATAAGGCTTTGCCGGGCCAATAAAAGTGTAGATAGGACGCAACAAGAGCTCAAACTTGGCGGTGCAGGTGACCACACCAAAAGCTGCCGTGTTTCAAGCAGGACTTCAGACCTCACAGAGATGCATATATTTGAAAAACTGTGGTAAGTGTGTAGCTGATTGTCCATGGTTTATGCATGATTCCATTTTCTGCTGTTATATTATTCCGTTTTATTCTGTTTCTTGATAATACACCAAGATAACAACAATAAGGCGATGATTGTCTTGTTGCTGTTAGCTTTTGCTTTTCCCTGGTCAATTTTGTATTTTTTCCCTGAAGCTCTCTGTTTCTTGATAGTATTTTGTTTTGTACGGTTTCATTAAATCGCCCTCAGTGAATGTCGAAAGCATTCTATTGCTCAGGCAAATGTGTCACTTTCAAACTCGGTTAAAACGTGTATACCACTCTTTTCTCATACAGTTCCGTGTTGTTTGGAATTTTCGAAAAGTTTTCAGTTATTCACTAAAAGCGTTGCTGTCCTAGGCATTAGCTGGTCACATAGCTGCGTTCGTACGAGTGAAGTCGTTGAATGAACCCTTCAATCGAAAAGAGGAAGCGTATTTGCCATCAACCTGTTGTTTAGGCAGTAGAAGCTCTTCGAAGGACCAAGCTGCTTATAAAAGGCATCGCCGTCCTTCGGAGACCGCAATTGTTCTAGTTTCCCATCTGAGTAATCCTCCTTCAGCTTCGAAGAGGATGGAAATTGTCGAAGCGAGACGAACGGTCGTGTGCAAGAAGACTTTGGCCGTGAGTTATTGGCAACATGAACGAATTTCGTTATCGCTCAGGATGAAAAGTGAATAGTATATGAAACCCCTACAGGGAGTCCAGTCGCTACCTGAGGACGTGAACCCACAAACTGTTCCAAAGCTGAGTGCCCATGTTGAGAAGGCATGACCTTTTCATATGCTCCACCGGATGTTTGCACTATGAGATCCTTCCCAAGGCTACTGTTGTGGGTTGTTCTACCGATATGCGCGCGAAATGTCTGTGTCTCGATCCCTTTTTCCACACCAGATACATGGAGATACTTTCACTGAGGTGAAGAATGACCGACCACGCATCTCGAGGACTTAGGAATCGGATAGATATGGCATCACGCGGTTACTAATCTCTACATACTTACCTGCACTGGGTTCTTGTATGTCATGGTTTCAGAAGCCTATAGACAGTGATTTGTTATGTTTAAATACTGCTTTGCCGTACAGGTTTGTTATGGCTGAACCGCTTTATTGGTCAACGTTTCGACTGAATCGTCGTCTTCAGGACCTGAAAATAGTTCGAAGCTCCTGATCTGTGACTTACCCGACCAAGCGCCCAAACGCGCTAGGCTAGTTGCAACGACTCCCGGAAACTAAAATACGGAAAAGTTCCAGCAAAGAGACCAACCTTCTGCGGTTCCACCAGCGTTACGTCCCACTCTATNTTTTTTTCTTTTTCATATTCTTCCTTCTCTCTTCTTACTNCACAAAAGGGAATGAACGGCAAGAGTTCACTTGTTATGGTCAATTCCCTTGTTCCCTGTTCACTTGTTTGATCCCTTGTTGTTCACTCAATGGTGACTCATTGATCCCTTGTTGTTCATATAGAGTGGGACGTAACGCTGGTGGAACCGCAGAAGGTTGGTCTCTTTGCTGGAACTTTTCCGTATTTTAGTTTCCGGGAGTCGTTGCAACTAGCCTAGCGCGTTTGGGCGCTTGGTCGGGTAAGTCACAGATCAGGAGCTTCGAACCATTTTCAGGTACTGAAGACCACGATTCAGTCGAAACGTTGACCAATAAAGCGGTTCAGCCATAACAAACCTGTACGGCAAAGCAGTACTTAAACATTATGTAAAATGCCCAGGTTTCAAGAAGACCGAACATGGAAGTGATTTGTTAGTTTTTTTAGAAGATTTCAAATTTACGTAACGGCGCTTATACGCAGATTTCGAAACTGTTTTACTTTACTAAATGGCAAAGTCACCTAATCGTAGAATCCTTGAAGAAATGCGAGGTAACTATGAAATATAGAGCTTGCAAGCATTGAACATCTTAATAAAGGGGCAAAATGTGTTTTGACATTCGCGAAGGGCAATACAATGACATCTCACTGAAGAATGTATTAACCGTAAAACAAAACGAAAAACCGAGAAAATCTAATTCGATTGTTAAGATGAGCAGAGTAAGGACAAGACACTTCGACGTGTTTTGTTGAAAAAAATTATGGTGAATAGAAAGAGAATTGATAATGTGGAGGCACTAGGGTCCAAAACTAATAACCTGCAGTCCTAACCTATAGCGATAGTAAAAAGCAATTTTGACAGCAGAGATCCTCTAGTCAACTCATTACACAATTGAAACAATTGAGTGAAACTACTAAAAGTATAACACGTATTAAAATTCTTTCAAGCACCCCCTTCGTCATCATACACTTGTACAACCTCCTAGGCTAAACAGTCTTTTGGGAGTTTTGATTTCAGTGGGTTTTTCAAATTTTATAGCTTTTTGCTAGCAGTTCTACGCAGCCTTCCTTGTTCTTGATCTTGAACTCAAAAAGGGTATCACCAAAGTTATTAAGAACTTGAATAATAATGTTCTCAGAAACGAACTGTTTTCCTTCTATTATCTCCCCTCTATTAACGCTACTTTCTACTTTTACTTACTTTCAGGACTTCGCCTAATCACATTACTCGTTACTACGACCAATCCCAGTACGACAAACAAGGGGCTTTCATTGGGGTTGTACCTTCGCTCAGTCAGTACATCTTCGGTAATTCAACCTTCTATACCAGAAACGATTATGATATGCTTGAGGTAGATTATTAACTGAAATTTTTTCAATCATTGGGTGCATTCCCACTCAGTCCCTTCAGTTTAAAGCTGTGTGCGAGTGGACACTCGTCCGCGTATATGTCCATATCATGGTATGCCAAAACTCTTCACTGACCAGAAAATCAACGATGTCAAATTAACGGTGTCGTCTTTTCTCTAGGATTGCGACACCTGAGTGCAGATTTTGTTCAGGTTACTCAAGAAAGCAATCCTTGCATCCATGCAAAAATTGGCACTATATTAAGGAAAAGACGGGTTGAAAATTCCACGTTGTCTACGTTGAGGTTCATTAGGTTCGCGGAAAATTCCTGCCCCATTTTTTGACACGCTTTAACATTGGACAGAACCACTCAACGTCACGTGTAACCACCATCGCTGTTGACAACGTTTTGCCAGTAGCGCTTAGGCAGTTTGTAGATGTGGCATGCTGGCTGACACGAGGCAAAGCCCGACGTCAACTCAATTTTGATTTAAACACGAGTCCCGAAGCTTTTCTCCATTAGTGAAAAAAACCGAAGAACACACGCACTCTCGAGAGCCAATGCTTGTACTGCACGGCGAGTGAGGGAGCGTTGTCCACACATACTGCAAAAAATCGAGACTTCCTCATTCAGTTCCGCAACTCTGGCATTGTCGTGCTGTATGTAGATTTTTACGAGTTCATTTCCTTTGATTGACGGCTCTCCGTTTTACAGAGAAAGATGTTCAATCAGTTGCTCCCTCATCTAGCAGTTGTCAATGTAGTGGCACTGGAATGACAGCACACCCTTGATGGCCGAACAATTTTGGGAATTTCTTTCGGCTTTTCTCCTAAACCAACCAATTGCCCTCTCCTAATAAGGATGTTGTTGTAGACCCCCTTTTCAATCGACGGTGATGGAATTTTCCAGCCGTCCTTTTCCTTTGCGCGATTTGAAGAGACAAACAGGCAATTAGGTGCAACTAACAAAAACAGTACCAACTTTTCAGGGGCTGTTGGCGTTGCCACTCAGGCGCTTTCAAAATGATACACCACACCCGATTCGAATGATAGAAAACTTCCCCCGTCAATCGAATACTTACCCATTTGCGAAATGTTCTGTGGAATATGCAGAACTCAGGGGATTGAGCAATGCTTTTGCATCTGTGTAACTTCACCCAAGTCATTTTTTTCTGAGGAATCCGCTGATACATATGCGTCAATTTCAGCTGAGATTATGACATAGTTTTTTGTTAAGTATTTGTTGAGGAATGACTTTTGAAAACCACATTTTTCAACATATGCACGTTTGCAGAACGATTGCTTCTATTAGGATCATTACACTTGGCAGTAATCCTTATTTCCAACATTTTATAAGCAAATTGTTGACCTATGACGTTAATCGTTTGTCTCGAAGACACTTCATTGACATGGTGAAGAGAATTGCACTACTACATGTTAAAGTCATGGAAAAGCACAAATTTTTTTCGATCCATCTCAACTGGAGGACGCGTTAGAGACCGCATCGAAATCACAACGTAATTCGTTACACAGTATGTCGCGCGCGGCATTCGCGAAGGAATCTTGTGAGGTCGCGCGTGAGTCGTACGTTCCGCAGGTAGACCAGCATACACCGATATTAACGATTTCATCCACATCTTCCATAAAAGCAGAAGCCAGACCATATGACGTTTGAAATCTATTGCGTCATAAGCATTACCATAATCCCTACCGCTCCTTTACCAACTTGTTGATTTCAATAACTGCCTCAGTTTTTCTTATTCTTGTATAAAATAGAATCTGTTTCAGGTAATATGTGCCATTGCATTCTGCATATCAGCAGCTATTGACGGTAACCCTTTGATGTCACTTGATCGAAATTTCACTACTATTCCAATTCATGGTACGAACTTCTACACGATCAGAGCAACCATACCAACAAAAGGATTTCACACGCTGACATCAACCTCTGACACCAATGGCCCGTATTCGTATTATGTTATTGGGCGGACAGTTAACGCAACGTACGGATACTTAGGAGCCATCAATAGTGAGTTTTGGTGTGAGGTAGTACAAATTCGGTTGTTTCTCCGGAACACATGAAAGTTGGGAAACTCAAGAACAAGAAACGCTGAGAAAAATGTTCAGCATGGAGAGCCACATAGGTAGATTGTGACGAACAGCATAGGGACCTGCATGAGCATTGGGGCATCCACTGTAGATATGATGCTCCCATGGCATATTTAGCAAAGTATTTCTCATTACAATCGGATTTGATAGGCAGAGCTCAAGCACACTTGAGAGGTGGAACCCGTCTCCTTTCACGAAAAAACTCAACGCCTACGACATTTATTTTTATAGAAGGAAAGGTACGGAGGCAGGACAAGTGCACAGGAAGAGCGCTGTTCCGGGATGCGATCAGCGTTCTTGAAAATCACTTGTACCTAAGAAACATTCCTGCCATCATTGCATGACATATCATTTTCTGTTGAAGCTGCTCATAACACAAATGCTTGAGAAGCCCCAATTTATTCTGGAGTCCGTTTGTGATGACATCTAGCGTCTGTATGAAGAGGAACTGGCTCAGAGCTTAATCCTGGTTCACCCCAAACGTTACGTCTATTGCTTCGTTCAGGCTGTATGGCTATATTGTTGTCGTGGACCCATCATACATGTCTTGAACCACGGATATCGGGTGTACTGGGACGTTTCGCTCTTGGAGCGCTCCCCGGAGACTTGTCGCGACAAACGGTTGAGAGCCTTTTCCAGATCGAAGAGGGCTGAGTAGCAGGATCTACGCCTTTCTCGATACTTCTGCATCACTTGTCTTGCTATGAAGATGGCACATCCATTGTAGATCTTTCTGGCATGAAGCCGAATTGCTTTCGAAGACCTAGACGATTACCCACAATCCAGTTTCATCGTGTGAGCAGTCAGCTTAATTCCCCGATAGTTGAAGCACTGCATCGCATCTCTTTTTGGCTTAAATATGATAAATGCTGTTCCTCCAGGCATCTGCAATTCTTCCTTCAGTAGTCATGGTAATCAGTAATTGGGTGAGCCACCTAATTTCCAAGCGCCTTCCATGCCTCGACGAGGATCTCATCTGTACCAGTTGCTTTCCCGGCCCTCATCTTCCTTACTGCTCTACGCACTCACCCTCTGTCGGATACGGTGGTACCAACCTTCGCTTCTATTTGGTTGCTGTTCTCACGGTAGAGTTCCTCGTTTAGAAGTCATTCTGTGTGTTCTTAACACTACGCCTGACCTGACCGGGCTTCCTCAGGTCTTGATCCTCCCTGTTCTCGATGGGTTTCACTACCATAATGGCCTGAGCAGCCCAGTGCCGCGCTTTCGCGAGCCTAGAGACAAACTTTTTCTCTTCCCGGCCAACGACTATAGTTCAAGGCGTTTATTTCCGTATAAATTGCTTTCGCTGCAGCAGTCTTGACGAGCCTCTCTGAAGTTGTATAGCAGCTACATTTACTGATGCTTGCGTCTTCTGCCGCTGCTTGCGTGCTGCTCCCTTTTGCCTCCCATTTCGCTGCATCGTCCACAACCACGCTAACTTGTCTCCTCGGACTCGGGAAGCTCTATGGCTATGTCTATTGGATGAAATGTCTGTCTGTGCTGTGGAGCTTACTGCCCGTAGCAACGGCAGAGAGCTGCTCCACGGTCAGAGAACGAGAGCCAAAGTTCCGTCCTTCACTGAGTGCGATAAGCTTTAGAGCAAAAGAATCACCGACATCACTAGACTCAAAGAACACAATGAAACCTACCTAAAGAACACGGCCCTTTCGCAAGTTTCTCTAAGAACAAATTCACCTACTCAGCTGAAAGTGAGCTCCTGTCGATTCTGCATCGCACGAGAGCCGGCAATGTTTGAAAACGATGCTGTCAAAAAATTAGTCGGAAATATTGACTTCGAGATGGCTTATGACAGAAGAGGTTCAAGGTGATTTCTTTTTGAACGGTACTGTACACGTACGTATTTGAACAGTACTGCTACTAATTCTTGGTCAATGGACGCTAGAGCGTTTTCTTGCCATACCCTTTGCCAAAGTGCTCCAATCGGATGAAAAATAAGATCATCGGGGAGCCCAGCATGTGGGGGATTTCGATACGTAATTAAATTCCGCTTCTTCGTTTTTTCAGCAACTCAGCTCCGGTTTTTTTGACTTCGTTCCCACGTAGATTGAAAGCTGGCTCTCTAGTAACCTGCGGGCAAAAGACTATCGCAAATCCCCACTCCAATAAAAACTCTGCTACCTCTCTGCTCTCACTATTCAAAAGGCACTTATTGCTTTATATCCAAAAAATGCTTGATCATGGTCAATTTCATGCCTTCTATGACGGGACCAGCTGGCCTGAGCACGATACCGTGCGCGTCTCTTGGCTTCCGACGAATTGATTTCCTCGAAAAAACCTAAAGCGTAATCGTTTTGGCAACATAGTGTACCGCCCTCTTCCGAAAAAATGGGGAAGTCGTTAAAACCTAACTAATAGCGCCAAAAGCCG